CACAGTAAATAAAATATATTCACATCAACCACAGTTTCAGCTAGTGAACAATTTCTAATATCCTCTGTAAGGAAATTCCTTTACTTGGGCAAAGGAAGAAAGCAGATTTTCCAAACAAAGGGATGGCATGACATGGCCTGGCCAGGGTAACTTCTATTAAAGTGGCATAGTTTGTCATATCTGACAACCCACTGAAGAAAGTTATCACTAGTTAAGGGCCTGACCCTGCATTCCTTAAGCAGACAAAAATCCCTTTGAAGTCAATGAAGCATCCTGCTCAGATAACTATATCAAGATTCGGCAATTAATGAAAACTTCTAATTTCTTAAGTAGATTATAAAAAAAATTCCCTGAAAAATAGCTATTACATGTTACTCACAGTAACTCCTCCACAGTTTGGGTTTGCTTCCAGCAGCTCTTGCAGCACAGGAACTGTTTTTCACTAACTAGGAATTACCAAAAGTCAAACCCACATTGTTTTCTATTTGCATTGATCTGCCTTAAGTGTTCTTCTCTAGCTGATGTCTAGTTGAAGGTTTTGACAGCTTTGCATTCAAAAGGTCAGTAAGCAGTCCTAAGGGCAATTTGATTTAAACCTTTAGCATTTTGCATACTCCCAAGCAGCAGTGCATAGAAGGAGGTGTATTTAGAGCCTCTAAAAGGTCATACTTCCCAGCCCTCAAAACAAAACCCCAATCAGAAATATTTTAGCTTGTAGAAAATATCAGAAAAGCAAACAAACAATTATGGAAACATTTGCCATTAAATTAAACTCAAAATGGGTTAAGAAAAACAAATTGTAATGTATGTTTTTAGACTGTGGTGTATTTCAATGGGAAGTTTTACATTCTGTCACATTTGGGAAGGCTGCCTTATCTGTCTTTCCTCAAGAGGCAGGCTCACTTACTTAATGTCTGTTTCGGTTTTCCAAGCTGCTTGGCCTCCCCCCTCCCCAAAATCCTAAGCCTCTCTCTGGGATGAGAATCTGAAACCTACAATGCAAAATTTGTTTGAAGTCTCATTAAGCAAGAAACCTCAAATTAAGGACAGCTCAGCAAAACAAAACATTTTTCTACAGAATCACGTGGACCTAAACCAAGCATTACATGGAAGTTCTCACAAAGGGGATAATGAGGGAGTTGTTTGTATTCTGATTAGCGTGCTAATGATATATGTTCCACAGAGAAAAAGCAATTAAGTCTCCACTTCAAAGAAAAATGATTTAGTGTAAGAGCACCAAAGCTTGTGCTTACATCTCCTACTGATTCTGTGATGCTGCAAAGCAAAATGGCAGCTGTTAAATGCTTAATTCCCATTTATAACCATGGAAGATGGTAGGTGTGGGTTGTCTTTTAAATGTATAGATATTTCAAAAACATGCTTCTATGCCACCAGAGGAATGGATCCTTGGTGGTGGTCAGACTGCAGATGAGTTCCTCTCAGTTTACATCATAAGAACTGCACAGTGAATTTTTAACAGTTGATTAAAAAGGGGACATAATAAAATAAACAAAATGCCTGATAAAAAGCAGAATCTCATAGAAAAATAATGTCATAAAACCCTATGTAAAGAACTCAAGCACCACAACAAACTAATTATTGAGAAACAAAGGAAAACACATATGAGCAGACAGCAGGAAAAATGACAGAAGAGTTTAGTCTCCCAATGGCTGACATTATTTTTGACCACATAAGAAATTAGTAAAATGAAGACAATACTTAAAAGTACACATATTCAGTTTTAAGCATTTCATATGTTCTAGCATGTTACCATTGTCACAATGCAGTGCCCACCCTAGGGAATTGATGAGTATCATATATTTGGTAAGTAATGCTGAAAAAAGTAGACAAGAAAAGGAAATCTGTGCTGATCCAGGACACACGTTCCACATTGAAAGTATGCCAGAGGCAGCTGTGGATTTCAAGGACACATGTGCAGATTTTTGTAAAAAAGTAATCAATTAATGAAATACAACCAAACTGTGCCATGGATCTAGAGAACAAATCAAATGTCAAGGCACTAGGTAGCTTACAAAATAAGTGCATGTACAAAATAGTGAGGCTGGAGGAAGAGAAACAGGACAAAGAAAGAAAATTAGTAGCTTACACTCCTGTATTTTGCCCAGGTTTGATGCATTAGTCCTAGTCACTAATAAAAAAAAAAAAACCACACAAACTTGTTTGATACAATACAGATTTAATTTTTGTGATTTTTAAATAGTAATTTAAAAGAATTTAAGTGGTGTCCTTAAAACTGTGTAAGTGAAGAGTCAATGGCACTTTCTATAGAAATTATTTTTAACTTCCTCTTAACCTACAGCTCTACTTCATGATGCAGCCAGAATGCTGAAGAATCATCTGTACCACTTTGAGAAGTGAGAGACTTGAGACAAGTAACACTCAGCCTAAAAACCTATCTGTTGAGAGAAATTAATTTTGAAAGGAAAAACCCAGAGCATCCACTGCCCCAAGCCTCCAAGTGAGTGTTGAATGTGTCTCGTTCATGCCTAAAGTCTCATTTCCCTACCAGCAGGCTGCAGAGTGGTTACACAGACAGAACCTTCAGAGTAAAGGGGCAACTTTAAAGTTTCCACTACAAGTCTTTGTTGAGGTTAATCTATATACTTACCTTTTTTAGGCTAAATAAATTCTTTTCTTCAAAAGCACCATAACCGTTTATTCAGAAACAGCCTTTACTATATAACTGTAATAATTAACACACAAATAAACACCACCAGCAGCCTTGTTAAACATGCAACAGAAATAGTTGAACTTCCCTAGGAAGTTCAGCCCTTGAAGTGTTTTCAGAGGTTTCACACCATCCTAACACATGTAACCCCTGTGCCAGCAGCTCACATCCCTGCTGTGCCCCATCACCCACTGACCCCAGGGGACCTGGCCCAGGGAGGCCCTGCAGCCACTCCCAGCCCAGCCAAGAGTCCAAATCCTGGCAGAGCCTCCACTGGAGTCTCCATGTTCTACACAAGATGGCTGGAATCACTACCAGGCTGCAGAAACCACAACCAACAGGAGGAAACTGTTTTGCTTACAGCTCTCCAGCTTGGAGCAGCCCAGAAAACTGCAACCACAAACTCCCCTAAATTTTCAGTGTGATGTTTTTAAAGCTGAGGAAAGCAATGCTATTCCTGTTGCAGTCATCCTCTCACTCCCATTGTGATCCATCCCCTGTCCTAGAATGTACATTCTTCTCAAGATCTTTCTCATCTCAGTCTCTTCATAAATCAATGTTTCT